GCCCCGAGCTCCCCCTGGCCCCCCCCCCCCCCCCAAAGCCGCCTCTGCTGGAGCCGGATCCTCCTGCGGCTCCCGCGGAGCTTCCAGGGCCGCCCGGCGCCTCCGAGGCGGCTTCCAGGCCGGGCACGACTGGAGCGCGGGGCACCCCGGCTCCAACCTCCGCGCGGGGAAGCCTGGAATTCCCAGCAGGGAATACTGCAAATCCCTGCTTTGTGCTCAGCCGGGAAGACGTTTACTCGCCCCTGGTTCTGCTAACTCCCGCTGGCTCCTTTTCTTCCCCCCCCCCCCCCGATCCCCCCCGCCGGCTCCCGGCTCCTTCCGCTCCCGAACTCCGGGAGAGGGAGAGGCCGGAGCGGCCGCCCAACCCCCAGCCCAGCCAGAAGGAAAGAAAACAGGTTGTAATTAGACAAGTGCATTCCAGTTCTCCAAAGTCCTTTTTTTAAATGCATGCCCCAGAGACAGGAGGGAGTGGCTGCAAACAGGGGAAAAGGAGCAGCAGCAGCAGCAGCATCGAGCAGGAACTGCCCGGACTTGTTGCTGCGAGTAATTATAGATTTGCAGCGCGGCTTCGTGCTCTTCCACCCCCACGTTTTGGCTCGGGGCTCCTGGAGGATTCAGCTCCCACCCAGGAGAAGCAGAATTCCTTCGGGAATACCGCGGGGCTTCCAGCCCCGGCTTTTGGGGGGGTTTTGCCCAGGAGATGGGGCCTTTGAAGCCTGTTTGGGCGCTTGGTGGCCCCCAGGGATGTGGTGGGTTGAGCTGCCGAGATTCCGGAGCGGTCGCTGCCGTCCGTAGGGAGACACGGAGGAGGAATCCTCCTCTCCGCTCTGCTCTGCCGCTGCAGAGGCTTCATCCAACCCCCGTTTGCCTTTTGCTCTCCCTTCCCGACGAGGCTTTGGAGCTCGTGCTGGGAGAGCAGCTCGTCCAGCCTCGCGATTCCCCATTCCTGCGTGCGCAGGGTTTGCAGCTCATCCTCCCTTCCAAAATCTGTTTCCATGGACTTGTTTGCCATTAATTGCCCTCACTGCGTGGCACCACCACAGCCGTAAAAATCCTGCTTGGGACGGAGCAGGGGTTCCCACAAAAGGGATCCTACAAAGGACCCTGCTTGGGAAAAACCACGGCATTGAGGCTGCTCCAGGACAAATCCAAGCCAAGCGCCTGCTCCCAGCCTGGCAAGGGACTCAAAGGCTCCCAAAACAAGCAGGGAACGTTGGTGTTCCACTTCCAAGCGCTTTTTGTTCTCCCCAGCGTCAGCGTGCCGTTGTGCCGCAGGGAGAATCGAGGCATACCTGGGATTTTACTCAAACCCATAAACCCTGCAAACTGCTCCGTGCTCGCTATTTCCACAAACTCCCGATCTAATTTGGTTTAAAAACATATATATAAATCCTTCTGCTAGCGAAAGAGCAGAACTGCAGCAAGCAGGGGCGTTTGCAGGACGAGGAGGCTCCTTTTGGAGCCGCAGACCCCGCTCCCGCGGGCTCCTTATCGCCAGGACGGCCCCATCCAAGGAGCAAAGCAAACTCCCGGCGCTGATAAGGCCGGCAGCTCCGAGAGGAAACCGGGACGCGCGGAGCCTGCCCGGAGGCCGCCGAGCCGGGGGAAGGAGCGTTCCCGATAAAGCGTTATCAGGAGCGGCGCCGATTGCCCCGGCGCAGCCTCCAGGGCAGGAGGTGACCGGGACGGGGCCGCTCGGCCTTCCCGGCGCTTCCCGACTCCGCACTCACCGTTGGGCCGGATGTTAATGAACGGGTAGTTGGGCATCACCAGCTTGTTGAAGTTGAACTTGTAGGTGAACCTCTTCCCTTTTGTCTTGTGGAGAATCCTCTTGTTGTAGTAATATCTGCCAAATAAAAGAGCCGTCAGGGCACTCGGCAATCCCATTTCTTGGAATGCTGGCGGCACTCGCCGATTCCCAAAGCCACCTCTGACCTATCCACAAGGGAGAAGCTCCTCGGAGAGCTTCTTCACCAGAAAATATCAGTCGATCCAAAAGTTTCCAAGCAACAGTTGTGCCTTTTCTAAGGAATTCTTTGCCAGGAAATTCCAAATTACAGGTCACTGTCTTGTTTTTTCCAACATAAGGGAAAAGGGGAGATCCTAAATGGAAGGCAAAGCTGAGCCAATGCCCGGATCTGCCCACGCCTGTTCTGGAGCTGGCACCAGGCCTGGGGGTGCTGCCCCATGTCCCTTAGGTGGCTGCCAGCGTCCCCGAGCTCCATGAGCTGAACAGGGACAATTCCCGGGACGCTCCCCGGTGGCAGCAGCAGCCAGAGGCCAAGCCTGGAGGTCACAGCCCGTGTCCCCACTCGTGTCCCCGCCGCTGTCACCGGAGCGGGGCTGGCACCGGGGAGCATTTTCCACTCCCAAATACCAAGGCCGGCGCCGTCGCTCCCGTTTATTGTTTCCTTCCTGCTCCATTAGGAGCCCGCGGTGTTTGCTGCCCTGTTTGTCTTCGGCAGCTCCACCCAGGAGGTATCGGAGGGCGGAAGGTGGCGGGATCCGTGGCACGGACGGCGCAAATAACGCCAGGAGCCGCCAGGATCCGGGCTGCTCCGCGCTAAAATACCTCATGGGACTGTTGGTTTTCCCTTGATCCACCCCAAAATACGAAGCGACACCTTGGAAAACCCTCAGCGGGTCCAGGAGGGTCTAAATTAAATGGAAATTTTCCTGAAGCGGGAAGCGCGGAAGAGCCGTGGCCAAAACAAAGGGACTCTGGTGGCCTCAGGGAGCTGGTGCCGCAAGTCGTGTCCTTGGGGAATGAGGAGCAAAACAGCGGCCATGTGGGGGATTCCCTGTCACATTCCTCCCTGCTTCCAAGGTGGAGGAATTGGAAGGGAAATGCGGGTGTCACCAAGGCCAAGAGTGTCACCAGGGCCAAGAGTGCCACCAGGGCCAAGAGTGCCACCCTACTGCGAGGGTGCCGGAAAGCGGAGCCGCTTTCTCCGGAGCGGGCTCATCCCCCTGCTTCCCTCCCACGCTCCATTCCTTAAACCGGGAGCGACGAGGAGGGTTGGAAAAGCTCCCTGGAAGGGAGCTACCCCAGTAACACCAACCCGAAGCACCCAGGATGTGCCGAACGGGAATTCCCTCTGTCCTCCCAGCCCAAGGAGGAGGAGGCTCCCGGGAATGCCGCTCACCTGAGCGCCCGGCTCAGCTTGTCGTAGTTCATCTGGGGCTTGCACTTCCTGCGGCCCCAGAGCCGGGCCACCTCGTCGGGGTCCTTGATGACGAACTCGCCGTAGTCGCCCTGCCACGCGATGACCCCCTGGTACTCCTCCTTCTGCAGCAGCTCCAGGATGAAGTGCCACAGCTGGATCTGCCGCGAGCCGGGGCTCGACTCCGTCTTGTAGGCCCACTCCGGGAAGTGGTAGCCTGGAAAAACGGCCCCCCGCGGGGATAAAAATCCAAGTGGGAATTGCCCCCCCCCCACGTGCATCTTTATGTGATTTATTTTCCAGAGTGCAGCCTCTAGCAGCTGAAATTCCAACAGGGATCAACGAAAAGCACAAAAAAAACCTTCCAAGCTCCAGCTTTTCCCCCACTTCTGTGTTTCTCTCACCTCCCTCTCACATTTCCCTGAACAGAGAGGGTAAAATTGGAAAGGGGCATTGGAAAGACAAATCCTGGGAAGGGGCCCCTGAGATTGCTCCGGTCGGAACCCGACGTGTCCCAGAGCAGGGAAAAGGGCCCGAATTTGGCCCCCGCCGCCTGGATTTTGGGAGCGGCGCGTGGAAACCCCCCGTTGCGGCGCGTTCCCGCACGCTCGGCTGTGCCCGGAGGGATTCCCCGCCCCGCCGCGGGGGGTTCCCA